GTAAGGAGTTAGGAGGAAGAAAAAGACAAGATGTCATAAAAATATTATAAGGTGTTGAGCTAAATGGATTTGTGTTGTGTAGGTTGTTAACTTATGATATTCTGAATAATTACAAGTTGAATTCACATCGCAGGGAATCAAAGGAAGAAACACGAAGATCACCAGCTTCACCAAGAAAACTGAGTGACACGAGCAAACCGCACCAACCATGGAAATAGATTGACCAAATCAAATCTAAAGAATCGCACCAATCAAGGAATAGATTGACTCACAATCTGTAGCAACCATGGAAATGGATCAACACACAATCAATCTAAAAGATTGATTCAATCAGCCATCATTCCAAAAAGGAAAACAGCACCAGGCAATCAATCATGACAACAAACAATTCACACTGATTATGGAATTAATCAGGAAAGATGACAGCTGCAGAATAGAAGCCTCAAGACAACAGGCAGGATCAAAAGAAGATTAGCAAATGATGTTTCATCAGCATATGTTTCAAGGCAGATTAAATCAAGGATCCAAGATTCTCAATCAAGGAACCATTACTAATCCTTGATTGAAGGAAACTCCTTTGGGTTTTCCTGTTAGAGCTAAAAGACCATCGCACTACTCACATATAAAAGAAGACTAAGACTAACAATTGAAATTACGCAACTTCACTTGAGCTTATAGTACAATCTTCTTTTATCTTTCATAAAGCTTTGTAATCACGTGAGTGAAACAATTGAGAAGAAAAGAGAAAGAAAGATTCTGAGTGTAGGTTTACAAGTAGAGGAAGTGTCAAGTTAGAACTTCTGATTTGCATATCAGACAGGATCAAATCACAGAAACCCTGTACATCTGAAGTTCACTTCAAAGCTCTAAAGGAAACCCTTGAAACCCAAGGGGACTGGACTAGGAACCACATCGGTGATCCGAACCAGTATAAAAACTCTTTGTGTTATTTACTTACTGCAAATTATTATCACTGTTTATCTATTCTACTAACGTGCAGGTGAGTCGACTGGCCATTACAGGAAGTCGACTGAAGGAAATTTTAATTCATCCCCCCCCCCCTCTTGACTTTCAATTGGTATCAGAGCAGGTCTCACCATTTAAATGTTTAACCACACGTGATCAAAAATCCAATGGCCCACTATCAGATTCCTGGTGCTTTACTTCAAGATGGTCATTCTTCACATCGACCACCATACTTCAATGGACAACATTACTCTCACTGGAAAGACAGATTCAGAATCTTTGCCTCTTCAAATGATCATCAAGCATGGATAATGATCAAGAAGGGGCCAAAGCCTATTCCTAGATTGACCAAAAAATATGGCACTGAGAAGCCATTCGATCCTGAATCATTTGATATCACGAAGGAACAACAAGAGGTAACTCAAACTAATGCTAAAGTTATAAGTTTGTTATATTGTGAAGTCAGCGGAGCTGAATATGACAAGATATCAACATGTGAAACTGCAAAAGAAATGTGGGACAAACTAAAAGTGACTTACGAAGGAACCACCAAAGTGAAGAAGGCTCGGATCAGTTCACTTGTAAATGAATAAGAATTGTTCAAAATGGCCGAAGATGAAAATGTAGAAACTATGTTCTCGAGATTCAGTAAAATGGTCTACGAAATCAAATCACTTGGAATGGTGTATTGAAATGGACTCCAAGTTAGAAAACTTGTTAGAAGTCTTCCCAACACTTGGGAAACTAAGGCTGCCATTCTTGAAAATTGAGATCTGCAGAAAATGACGTATGATGAACTTCGAGGCAACCCGATGGACTATGAACAGAATCATATCAACAGGTACAATAAGGACGATAAAAAGAAAATTGTGGCATTTACGGCTGAGACATCTAAAATTGGAGAACATGTCAATGAAAATCAAGACGAAGGAATGGCTCTTATAAATCGAGGAGTGAGACAAATGCTTAGACAAAGAGGACAGAGACCTCAACAAGACTTTAAGAACAATGATTTCAAAAGAAATGATGATCGTTGTTACTACTGTGGAAAACCAGGACACATCAAATAAAACTACCCAGAATAGAAAAGAAGAAACAATCGAAGAAACAAGGACCCTAAGAGTCTCAGAGCATGGGATCAAGGACAAACAACCAACGATGATCATGATGAAATGGCCAATCTATGTTTCATGGCACTAGGTAAAACAAGTGAGGTAAGATCTTTTAAATGTTCTAATTGTAATGACTTACTAAATTCTTTGGACATGGTTGCTGATGAATTACAGAAGGTTATTGACGAATACAATAAAATCGCTTAAGAAAAGAAAGATTGGCAGATTCTTCTCGAAGCAAGTCAGATTGAAGTTGACTTACTAATAGAAGAATTAGAGGAAGTCAAAAGGAAGTTGAAAAACATCAGAAAGTCTCCAAGTCTTAGTTATGTCCGATCTAACAGAACTATGCTCTATAGAAGAAACTCTTCTAATCGTAGTTCCAACATATCAAATAGATCTAATTCAAAATCTTATTCTCCTGAAATTTCTACTAAAATTACTTGTTGCACTTGCGGTGATCTTGGTCACAAATCTTTTAATTATAGAAAATATTCTTCTAGAAAGTGGATTTGGAGACCAAAAGTTACTAATCATCAAGGACCCAAAAATACTTTGGTACCTAAAAGAAACTAATCTTATTGTTTTGCAGGAGCAATCCAAGAAAACCTACAGAAAAGGAATGTGGGTACTTGACAGTGGATTCTCCAAACATATGTGTGGAAAGAAAGAAAACTTCAAAACTATAAAAAGAATAGATGGAGGATGTGTCAGATTTGGAGAAAATGTTAAAGGGGAAGTAACTAGAGTCGGGACTATTAAACACAGCTCATCATGCAATCTAATCAAAGTGTATCTAGTTGAGGGACTCAAACATAACCTTCTCAGCATTAGTTAACTATGTGATGTTGGATTTCAAGTTACTTTAAACACAGCCAGCTACATCATCAAACATCCTGAGAAAAATCTAACTCTTATCGGAGATCGAGTTAATAACATATATGTTTTAAATAATGTTGATTTTACATCTCTTACTTTTCTTACTGTAGTCTCAAGCGATCCTTGGCTATGGCATCGAAAGCTTGGACACGCAAGTATGCATGCTCTTGAAAAACTTTCTAGACTTGAACTAGTCATTGGTCTGCCTAAACTAAAGTTTCAGAAAGATCATATTTGTGACGCATGTCAAATGGGTAAGCAGACTCGCTCATCCTTTAAAGAAAAAGATATTGTAAGTACTTTTAAATCCCTTCAGCTCCTTCACATGGATCTATTTGGTCCTACTCGAACTGCTAGCATTGGAGGTAAACGATATGCATTCGTTATTGTTGATGACTTCTCAATGTTCACATGGGTAATCTTTCTCACTCATAAAAATAAAGCTTTTGCTAACTTTGAAGTTTTTTGTAGAAAAACTCAAAGAGAAGCAGGTTACGTCATCATAACTATTCATAGTGATCATAGTGGTGAATTCAAGAATAAAGCTTTTGAAGAATTATGTGCTCAAAATGGTTTCACTCAAAACTTCTCTTCACCCAGATCACCTCAACAAAATAGAGTTGTAGAAAGTAAAAATCATTCACTACAAGATACACCAAGAACTATGCTTCTCGATCGAAATCTTCCCGATCATTTTTGGGCAGAAGTTGTAAGTACTGCTTTTCACATTCTTAACAGGTGTCTTATCAGACCTATACTAAAGAAGACTCCATATGAACTATGGAGAGGTAAGAAACCAAACAGCAGCTACTTCGATTCGTTTGAATGCAAATGTTTCATCTACAATAACGGTAAGAACAATCTTGGTAAGTTCGATCCAAGAAGTGACGAAGGTATTTTTCTAGGTTATGTTGTAGGGCCTTTCGTGTTTTTAATAAAAGAACTTTAAGTGTTGAAGAATCTATTCATGTGGTATTTGATGACACTAATCCAAGAGTATAGAATGCTGAAGCTGGCGATGATGAATCACTTTAGCCATTCTAGCTAAAGATATCTCAAAAGTTGCCCCTGAAACTAATACTGAAGAGCTAGCTACTGCAAAGATAGAGTCGACTACTCCAGTCGAAAAAACCAACATTCCCAGGGAATGGAGACACAATGCAAGCTATCCTAAAAACTTCATTCTTGGAAAACCAGATCATAAAATCCAAACAAGGTCTTCCCTTCGAAAACAATCTTCTTTGGCTCTTTTATCTCAAATGCAACCTAAACGAATTATTGAAGCTATGGAAGATGAGTCATGGATGCAAGCAATGAAGGAAGAACTTGATCAATTAGAAAGAAATCAAGTGTGGACCCTTATCGAAAGATCTAAGAATTGTTCAGTAATTGGAACTAAATGGGTATTTCACAACAAACTGAATGATGATGGACAAGTTGTCTGAAATAAAGCTAGGTTAGTAGCCCAAGGTCATTCTCAGTAGGAAGGGATTGAATACGATGAAACCTTTGCACCCGTAGCAAGGTTAGAATCTATTCGAATTCTCCTAGCTTATGCCTCGTTCAATCGGTTCAAACTTTTTCAAATGGACGTTAAAAGCGCATTTTTAAATGTTTTTATAAAAGAAGAAGTGTTTGTTAAACAATCTCTTGGTTTTGAAAATCCCTCTTACCCTGACTATGTTTTAGAACTATCAAAAGATCTTTACGGTCTTAAGCAAGCCCCTAAGGCTTGGTATGAAAGATTGAGAACTTTTCTCTTAATTAATCAATTTCAAAGAGGGAAAATTGATACAACCTTGTTTACAAAAAGAACTGATTCTTGCATTCTTATCGTTCAAATTTATGTTGATGCATGATATTATTTTTGGAAGCTCTAACTTTTCCCTGTGCGAGAATTTTGCAAATCTTATGAAAGGCGAGTTTGAAATGAGTCTTATGGGTGAACTCTCATTTTTCCTCAGCCTACAAATAAAGCAGTCAGATAAAGGCATTTTCATCAGCCAAGGTAAGTACGCAAAAGAGTTTATCAAAAAAATTGGAATGGAAAGAGGGAAAGCTTTTGGAACACCCATGAGCCCCTCCACCTGTCTAGAATCTGATACAACAGGAAAAGCAGTCAACAAAAAATTATTTCGTGGAATGATTGGATCTCTGCTATATCTCACTGCAAGTCGACCAGACATCATGTTCAGTGTCTGCAAATGCGCAAGATTTCAATCCGCCCCAAAAGAATCTCACCTCACTATTGTGAAACGAATCATTCGATATCTTATTGGAACCTCTAATATGGGGTTATGGTATCCTTTCTCTGAGAATTTTGATTTAATTGGATATTCAGATGCTGACTTTGCAGGTGATAAAAATGACAGGAAAAGTACTAGTGGCACTTGCAATTTTTTGGGAAAATCTCTTATTTCCTGGCATAGTAAGACGCAAACTTCCGTTGCCCTCTCAACTACTGAATCTGAGTATTTGGCGGTTGGAAGTTGTGGCACTCAACTACTTTGGATGGTGCATCAACTCCTGGCCTATGATTTATCCTTTGAGGGAGTACCTATTTTTTTGCTATAATACTAGTGCTATTAGTCTATCTAAATATAATGTGCATCATTCTAGAGCTAAACATATAGATATCAAGCATCATTTTATTCGTGATCATGTTGAAAATGGTGATTTTGTGGTTGAATTTGTTGATTCTGAGAATCAGTTAGCCGATATATTTACAAAACCTTTACTTGAGGCAATATTTTGTTTCCTTCGAGAATGTCTTGGCATTACTCTTTCTGCAGGAATGTGATCACCACCCTGAAGTATTTTCTCGGTGATCGTTAAGACTATAGGTTTTTTTCTCGTTTGCTAAGACTGCTAGTTTGTGGAGATATGTCTCCATTTCTTTTAGATTGTATTTCGGGGTTCCCTTCCCCATACTCTTGGATTGTATATTTGTTTTTGCCTATCCTGTTTTTTTTTTTTTTTCCTTTTTGATTATGTCAAAGGGGGAGAATAATTAGACCTTGCCATTGAGCAAGGGGGAGCATGCTGGAAATCTACACATGAGGCATACAGCAAGGGGGAGCATGAATCGAACATGGAAGTCAAATTAAACTCGTATTAATCTTAACTGTCATTATCAAAAAGGGGGAGATTGTCAACTTATGATATTCTGAATAATGACAACTTGAATTCACATCGCAGGAATCAAGAGAAGAAATGTGAAGATCACCAGCTTCACCAAGAAGACTGAGTGACACGAGCAAACCGCACCAACCATGGAAATAGATTGACCAAATCAAATCTAAAGGATCGTACCAATCAAGGAATAGATTGACTCAAAATCTGCAGCAACCATGGAAATGGATTAACACACAATCAATCTAAAAGATTAATTCAATCAGCCATCATTCCAAAAAGGAAAACAGCTGTCACGCCCCGAGCTACCCCAAGACGCGAACACGGGACCTAGGACCACAAGTGATCCCAAGCTAACCCTGCTGGCATGATCATGAGCATACTAAAGATAATAAACTGATGCGGAAGCTAATTCATAAATAAATCTGAAAAGATGGGGAATACCCATATACTATAACTGAATATATCAAATCTGAGAGTTTAATACAAAAGAAATATCAAACTCAAAACACTAAGCTGAATCTAACTATGTCTGAAATAAGCCTCTAAACTGACTAGAAATGTTGGGACATGCCCCAACTAGATCTAGCAAAACTGAAACTAAAGACTAGAAGCGATAAAGATAAACATGTCACTAGTCCTCGAAGAATGAGGACTCACCACTGATGCTGCTGAACTGAAGATCGGGAATCGATCTAAGCGTGATCTGGATGCTGAGAACCTGAACCTACATCACGAGAAGATGTAGCGCACGTATGCGTCAGTACTTGAAGGGTACTGAGCATGCAGGATAGAGTAAAGCTGAAATAACATATAACTGAACAAAGCAATAAAGCAATGAAATAATCTGAACATGATATAGATACTGAAAATACTGAATACTGAGCTAACTGATGCAATGACCAAATTTATAACATGCTGAGACTGAATACTGACTGTACTGAAATATGGTCAATGCAATAGAGTCTGACTGAACTGTGGGAGCTACTAATAACCGACATAAAACCACATGAGCTAAATGTGGAGTCCGATGTATACGCCCCATCGAGAGGACCCAATATACCCTGCCAGAGGTATAGAGGCATGCTGGCGTGATCACTAAACTGATGTTGCCCACAGAGGGGACTTACACCTACGTGGCTCGTAGTTCTGGAACTATATGGGTACGCTGAAACCCTAGTCCAACTCGGTATTATGCTACTCCCAATGAATTAAGTAGTTAACTGATTATGACTGAATTTCTGTAAATACTGGATAGCTCGAAACTGAACATGCAAACTGAGAATGCAATAATTAATCTGATAATGATGCATTCATAAACTGAGGCATATATAACTGAATATATTATGACTGAAATACTGAATAGCTTAAGATACTGACATATAGATACTCATACTTGAAAACTCCCTTTTAGAAAACAATACTCTAATCATTGATGACTTGGGAAGTCATACTGCATAAACATTGATGGTATATCTAGATACCATACTATTCATACATTGATGACCTACTCAATTGTCATACTAATCATGTATTAGAAGCTCTTTCTCAAAACTCATCTTAACTTTCTCAAAAACTCAATTTAAAACTCAAGTGTTGTCTTAAAGAAAAGCTTCTCATGATTTATAACTCAAAATAGGGTTTATGCTGAAATATACTGATAATGTGGCATAAAACTGGAGCATGTATATCTGAATAACTGAAATATTTGACCTAGCATGTGTAATTCAAGAACTAATGAAATACATAGCTAGGGTTCTGAAATTTATGCGATAAACTGAGCAATAACATGATAATTTGATTTGGAACATTTAAATAACTAATTCATGATGATCTGCTGTAATTCTAGAAACCCTAGGTTTGTTCATAATCATGGAATCAAGAATCTGACTGAATTCTAGGGACCTAATGGGCGAAAGGAACCCACTAGTGAAATCCCACATACCTGGTGATGAATTCCACGGAGAAATCTTTTGATTTCGGGGCTGGAACTGAAGGAAACTTGCTGCGTTCTTGAACTAGGGTTCTTGACCTTTTTCTCCTCTCTTGCTTCTAATTTTCTAAGTTTTGATTAATGATTTAGACTAAGGTAAGTTCTAATTATGTTTCTAGGTTTAAACTGATTAAAATCTCATGATTTAGGGTCTAAACGACGTATCTTAGGGGTTAAACGAAATAGGAAAAGAACAAAAGACCCCTGAATTAACTGTTGTCGGAGTGATCGACGGAATGGACTGACGGTCCGTCAATCAATCGACGGTCCGTCGATTGGGTCCGTAGATCGAGTATGCCCAACAGGGCTTCACTAAAACGGGCATAACTTTTTACTCGAAGGTCGGAATTTAGCAAACTCGGTGGCGTTGGAAAGATAATTCAATTATCTATCTAACCATAGGTCATGGGGAACCTAATTCATTTTGTGCTAAAAGTTATGACCATATGAAGTTGACCCATCAGAATTTTTAGCTAACTGGCTGCTAACCTTCCATCTACGGTCAGACCTACGGACCGTGGATCGAACGACGGTCCGTGCTGGTCAACCGTAGTTCAGGACTGAAGCTGGGTTTTTGGGGCATCGATCTACGGACACGAACTACGATTTGTGACCTGACCTACGGACCGTAAGTCCGGCTGTGGGTCAACACTTAACCAAATTTTTTGACTGAGTTCTGGGGAAGTTTTCTGTCACGAACCACGGACCTGCTGGACGGACCGTGAGTCCATCTACGGTCCGTGGATGGTGTCCGTGAGTGCCACCTGTAACACCAGAAATCTGAAATCTCTATTTTCGGATACGGGGTGTTACAACAGCACTAGGTAATCAATCAGGACAACAAACAATTCACACTGATTATGGAACTTATCAGGAAAGATGACAGCTGCAAAACAGAAGTCTCAAGACAACAGCAGGATACAAAGAAGATTAGCAAATGATCCTACATCAGCATATGTTTCAAGGCAGATTAAATCAAGGATCCAAGATTCTCAATCACGGAAATATTACAAATCCTTGATTAAAGGAAACTCCCTTGGGTTTTCCTGTTAGAGTTAAAAGACCATCGCACTACTCACATATAAAAGAAGTCTCAGACCAACAGTTGAAATTACGCAACTTCACTTAAGCTTACAGTACAATCTTCTTTTATCTTTCATAAAGCTTTGTAATCACGTGAGTGAAACAATTGAAAAGAAAAGAGAAAGAAAGATTATGAGTGTAGGTTTACAAGTAGAGGAAGTGTCAAGTTAGAACTTTTGATTTGCATACCAGATAGGATCGAATCACAGAATCCCTGTACATCTGAAGTTCACTTCAAATCTCTAAAGGATACCCTTGAAACCCAAGGGGACTGGACTAGGCCCCACATTGGTGATCCGAACCAGTATAAAAACTCTTTGTGTTATTTACTTACTGCAAAGTATTATCACTGTTTATCTATTCTACTAACGTGCAGGTGAATCGACTGGCCATTATAGGAAATCGACTGAAGGAAATTTTAATTCACCCCCCCCCCCTCTTGAATTTCATAGGTAATATGGAGTAACTTTGGAATAGGACCTTCTAGATTATCTTGTTGTCGCGTAACTGTGATTAACATTATAAGTGGCTCTCTTTCGTTGTCTGATTTTGGATAATCGTGAAAATGTCGTCACTCCATCTTCAATTCGATAATTTTCTGGGTCCATTTCTTGGTAATCTTTCTATTTGAAAAAAAGCCTTTCCATTTAAAGGATTTGTACTTTTCCATTCTATATAATAGTAACAACATTTGGTATCATTTTGAATAATCATTTCATTTCTTTCCTCCCTACATCCTAATTGTGGGATTATATTGTGTATGTTGTTGTTGACTCGTTGTAGTTATTTCTTTCGGATGTGAAAAGATAGATGATTGTGTTGAACTAAGTATTAAATTCACAACAAACACTTTTAGATTATAAATCAAAAGTTTAATTAATCATTTATTTAAATGGGATCCTATACATATCAAATAAGTTGTACTACAATTCATACTTCTTTCTACAATTTAAGCAAACATTTTTGCGTTTAAGGGCCTTGGTCTGACCCGTCAGTTTTTGTCAGCATCATCATATGAAGTTTTTTAATTAAAGATTTGAGTTTGAGGAGTTTCATCTTGTGCAAATTTGTGTTATTAATTCATAACGAATCCTGTTGTAGGCCCCATATCATTCTCCTATTTTTTTCCTCCTCCTTTCCTCTTTCTTTTCATTCATAAACATAGTACGGTGTAGGACTTCTTCTTCAACATTGCTGAGTTTATTCTTTTATTTTATCCACATTGAACCTCTTGTTCTTAGTGGATGATATTTTAAAATAAAATTGGTATATCACGAGGAGATCATATCTTGAATTAGAAGGATTTTTGTGCAGATTTAAAGTGAATTTAGTTGAATTTTCAAAGAAAATTCAAGTTTGATTATGAATAATTGAAATTGTCTAGCGTGGCTTTATGAACAACCAACTTGTATTCATGAATTCAAAGATATACCTGCATTCATGTATTTGGAAATCAAGAACGGCAGCAACGATGTTTTAAGATATCACAACTTTGGCGAGTGAAGAAGATGAAACCCAATGCCCAAAACTCCCTTGTTTTATTCTATGTTTCTATACCCTTTTGTTTTTTTTTTCATGGTATCTAATACTCT